TTGGTCCTGGACTTTTGTTATGTGGGAGATTTTTGATTACTGATTCAATCTCCTTACTAGTAATTGGTCTCTTTAGATTTTCTATTTCCTCATGATTCAGTCACGGAAGAGTGTATGTTTCTAGGAATTTATCCATTTCTTCTAGATTGTCCAGTTTGCTAGCATATACTTGTTTGGAGTAGTTTTTATGGTCCTTTGCATTTCTGTAATGTCAGCTGTAACTTCTCTTTGATTTCAGATTTTATTTATGGGAGACTTCTCTCTTTTTTCATGATTAGTCTAGCTGAAGGTTTTTCAGTTTTGTTTATCTTTTCAAAGAACCAGCTTTTAGTTTCATTGATCTTCTATTGTCCCCCACCCCCACCCCCTGCCTTAGGTCTCTATTTCATTTCTTTTCACTCTGCATTTATTATTTCCTTCTTTCTACTGAATTTGGGCTTTGCTTTTTTTCTGCCTTTGTAGGTTGTAAAGTTAGTTTGATTATTTGATAGTTTTCTTGCCTATGGAGTTAAGTCTGCTATAGTCTTCCCTCTTAGACTACTTTTGCTACATCCTACAGATTTTGGTATGTCATAATTCTGTCTTCATTGGTGTCTCTCTCTTTTTTTTTAATTTCTTTATTGACATCTTTGATGGCCCATTGGTTGTTTAGCAGCATGTTGTTTCATCTCCACATTTTTGTGGTTTTTCTAGTTTTCTTTTTGTAATTGATTTCTAGTTTCATACCATTGTAGTCAGAGAAGATACTTGATATGATTTCAGTCTTCCTGAATTTACTGAGACTTGTTTTGTGGCCTAACATGTGATCTGTATTGGAGAATGTCCCATGTACACTTGAAAAGAATGTGTATTCTGTTGCTTTTGGATGGAATGTCTGTATATATCTACTAAGTGCATCTGGTCTAATGGATTATTTAAGGCCATTGTTTTCTTATTAATTTTGGCTTTGCATGATCTCTACATTGGTGTAAGTTGGATGTTAAAGTCCTCTACTATTAGTGTATTGCTGTCAATTTCTTCCTTTAAGTCTGTTAATAATTGGTTTTATATATCTTGGTGTTTCTATGTTGGATACATATATGTTTAAAAGTGTTATGTCTTTTTGTTGGATTGATCCCTTTAGACTATGTAATGCCCTTATTTGTCTATTATTACAGTCTTTGTTTTAAGTAAACTATACCCTCAGTGTGGGGTTTGAACTCATGATTGCAACATCGAGAATCACATGCTCTATCAACTGAGCCGGCCAGGCATCCCCCTATTATCATAGTCTTTGTTTTAAAGTCTACTTTGTCTGCTATGAATATACCTACACCAGCCTTATTTTCATTTCCATTTGCATGAAATATCTTTCTCTATCCCTTCACTTTCAGTCTGTGTGTGTCCTTACTTCTGAAGTGAGTCTTTGGTAGATGGCATATAGATGGATCTTATTTTATCCCTTCAGTCACTCTATATTTTGATTGGAGAGTTTAGTCCATTTACATGTAAAGTAACCACTGATAAGTACTTATTACCATTTTGTTAATTGTTTTCTGGCTGTTTTTGTAGTTCCTCTCTGTTCCTTTCTTCTTTCTCTCTTCCCTTGTGGTTTGATGGCTCTTTTTATGTTTTGTTTAGATTCTTTTCTCCTTTTCTGTTGTGTATTTATGGTAAGTTTTTGCTCTATGGCTTACCATAAAGTTCACATACAAGTTCCTATGTGTATAATGGTCTGTTTTGAGTTAATAGCAGCATGACAAAACTTTACATTTTTTTCTCTCCCCTTCATTTTATATTTTTGATGTCACATTTTTACATCTTTTTATTTTATGCATCATTTTAATTTTTGTAGTTTTAGTTAACTGTACTATTTTTGTCTTTTCACCTTCATAGTTGGTTTGTCAGTGGTTGATTTACTACTTTTACTACATATTTAACTTTTACAGTAGGATTTTATATTTATTCCCTTGTTATTATTTGTATCATTTCTTTTCAGTTTAGAGAAGTCACTTTAACATTTATTGTGATACTGGGCTAGTGGGGATGAGCTCCTTTATAGCTTTTGCTTATCTGGAAAACTATTCGTCGCTCTTTTAATTTTGAATAACTTGCCGAGAATTCTTGGTGATTTTTTTTTTCCTTTCAGCACTTGAATATGTTATGCCACTCTTCTGACTTGCAAGATTTCTGTTGAAAAATCTGCTAGCATACTCTCTTGCTGCTTTTAAGATTTTCTCTTATCTTTAACTTTTACCATTTTAGTTATAATGTGTCTTGTGGTTCTCTTTGAGTTCATTTTATTTGGGACTCTCTGTGCTTCTTAAATCTGGATTGTTTCCTCAGATTAAAAAAGTTTCAACTCTTCTTCAAATAAGTTTTATGGCCTTTTTTCTCTCTCTTCTCTTTCTCAAGCCTCTATAATGTGAACATTATTCCACTTAATGTCTCAGAGTTATCTTAAGTTATCTTCATTTTTTAAAAATTCTTTTTTCTTTTTGTTGTTTTGCCCAGGTAACTTCTATTCCTTTGTCTTCTGGCTTGTTGATCTGGTTTTTGGCTTCATCTAGCCTGCTGTTGAACTCCTCTTGTGTACTTTTCAGTTCAGTTATTGTATTCTTCAGCTCTGTAACTACTGTATGAAACTTTCTTATATTTTCTGTCTCTTTGTTGAGGATCTCCATGTTCATGCATTCTTCTCCAGCTCAGTGGGCATCTTTACTGACCATTGCTGTAAACACTTTATCAGGTAGGTTGCTTATCTGTTTCATTAATATTTTTTTCTGATGTTTTGTTTTGTTTTTTGTTTATTTGTTTGAAATATAATGTTTTGTTGAAACATTTTGTCTTACTCTCTGTGTTGGTTTGTATGTATTAGTCAAATCAACTACACCTTCCAGTCTTGAAGAATGTCCTTGGACAGGAGATGTCATGTGGAGCCCCTCTGACCACCAGAGCTAGGCGCCCAAGTACTGTCCCCTCTATGGGCTGCACACAGCCATCTGCTGTGGCAGGTTTGTATTTGTGGTATCAGGGTGGGTGGAATTGGCGCTTGGCCTGGCTATGATGTGTGGTTTTGCTCTGATTGTGGGCATGCTCACCAGGTCTAACAGGTTAGAGGGATAGTTCCACAATGGTGCTTATCAATACTGAACTTAGCAAGGTAGGAAGAGGTCACATATATGGTGGCCACCAATGTCTCTGTCTCTGGATAAAGTCCGAACGTTTTCCTGCCTCTCTGGCAGGTACTTTAAGTTGAGTAAGTTGTTTTCCTTTACATATGACCGAGGCACTTTTCAAATTGGTGTTTTTGTGCTGGGTCCCAGAGCGAGTAAATCTGAGTCCTTAAGAGTGGGTTCTCCATTTCTTTCAGTTTTACAGTTATCTTAGATGTAATCCTCATTGGTTTTCAAAGTCTGACATTTAGGGGGCTCATACCTCTCATGTAGGATCTAAGGGCTGGGGTGCCTGGTGTGGAGGACAAACCCCTCACTTCTTAGGGAAAAGTACTGTACTTTTGAGATCCCTCCTGATGGTGGATCATGGCACTTAGGGTGGAGTCTTTTTGGCAAGGCACTGTCTTTGCCTCTCCTACCCTTCTCAATGCTGTCCTGTCTGTCCTTTGTTGTGGATGCTCTGTTCATCCAATTTGCTGTTCTTTTTCAAAGGAATTTGTTCTATAAATCATTGTGTATTTGTCAGATCCATGAGAGGGAGTGAGTTTACATCTTCTTATGCCACCATCTTCAACCCAACTCCACCCTGTCTTATTTTTATTGCCAGCCATAGCCTGCTTTCTTAAAAGCTCAGAAGGCTTAGATATAGCTGCTGTGCTTGGTTTCTGAAAAGGCAAATGTCTTTGCTGATGGATTATGCCCTGATCATGGCCCTCTGGCAGATATTTCTTCCTGAAAATAGAGCAAAGCATTTTCTATTTCATAAATTAAGATAAATCATTCCCTCACCATTTGTCTATAGCTCTATCAGACCGTGCCAAACAGCTTTATTGTTTGAATTGTTAGATTTCCAAGCTTATACAAAATCCAAGTTTTATTAATAGCATATAATTACCACATGCTTCAATTTTCTATAAACACAGAAATTCAGTAATTAGCTTTAGAATTATATTACAATCTGAAAGTAGAACCACAATGGCTATAAATGCCATTGTGTGTTACATTTCTAAAAATAAAAAAAATAAAATGTTCATTATCTTGTCAATGATTCAACTCTACACAAAGCACTCAGTGGAACTGCCCAGTATTCATTCAACTGCTTTGTGCCAGCTCTAGGGACATTAGTAGCAAAGGACATGATATCACTGTGAAGGCCAATAAATAAGGGTCTTGTCCTCCTACCTCACAGAATGGTATTTTAGCATGTATATGAGCCATGGCACTTATTATCATATTATTATTGCTTCCTTTCCCTAAGTGAAACTGAATTACTCTAGAATCTCTTCTTCCCAAGAAGGAAACTCCCTATCTAGCAGTGATCTGGTGCTTGTTAAGGTAAATGCATTAACTCGCTTTGGCCTCTAAGGGGCCCTCAGCTGCATTCTGGGAAAGCAAGAGAAGGGAGCACTACGAAAAGCTGTCTGTCAGTTGGGCAGAACGCTTAGCCGTGGACTGGAACCTAAGGAGGCCATTCCATACACCTGAAATCTAAGAAACTACTGGAGGCATATTTGCATGATTTTGGATTCCTCTCCCTTTAAGCAAATGGAAATTTTAGTACCCAGCCCTGTGGGTGAACTGTGATGGTATATGTATCCAACTTTCTCCCTTCCCATGGGAGCACACTGTTTTCATTTCCATGGAGACACAATGTGTTGGAGTGGGATACAAAGAGCCCTGGGAGCCTATGACTCCTGGAAATTCTACCATTCTACTGCAGGGTTTGGACTCCTTACCTTCTGCCAGCTCAGTTTTCTGAAACAAGAATATGAAAGAGAAAATCTCAACTTCTGTAGCCCCTAAGAATATGAACTGGAGGAATACTGGCAGTAACTTCCCACTCACCTTTCAGTGTTCTCAATGTCTGTGGAAACCTGCCAGGAATGTTGCTGAATATCTACAGGGGATGATGAGGAGTCCTCTAGAGCAGGTGTTTCAGTACTCTCCTCAATTTTGCAGTCCAAACTCTTGGTTCCCCCACCAGGCTCCTTTCCTAAAGAGGGGAGAGGGGATGTTGGTAAAGAAAAGGATAAGAACTCAGAAATGCAAGTTCTATAGCCATGATATCATTGCAAAGATTGTCTATGTTTTGAGTCATGGGCTCCATTAACCCTAATAACTTCTGAATATGAAATACTATACTAATTCATTTATTTCTGAATAATACTGAATATAGGTATCTATCTCTGTTTCTAGCTATACAAATATATGTACTTGTGTGTGTGTGTGTGTGTGTGTGTGTGTGTGTGTGTGTGCATAGCATGTTTCACAACATTCTGGGAAACCCTGAAGATCAAGGTAAAAGTAAGGGCTCCATCTTTGATGGAGTACTGGTGCTCTATAATCCGTTCTTAGTGAGATAAATCAGGTCATCTTGAGAGGGGGGTTTCAGCCTGTGAAATCATGCTGCTTTTTGGTTCTTTGATTCAGGAGCAACTATAAGGGCCAGGAGTAGGTGACACCCAGCAGGTTGAATGAGAGCTTCTGCCCTTCTCTCTGACTCTGACACTGGCTCTCTTGGATTCATCTCCCTTAAATAAATGTAAATTTGGGGACCCAGCATGTAGAAAATAGTTGTATCTTAGTATATGGGAAATAACTGAGATTGTGGACTTGTCTTCCATTTCGTTGGCTTTCTAGCCTCCTTCACTTTATCCTTCTCTGAGGAAATAGTTCAGCCTCAAGATCCAGCCTTGCTCTGCTGAGACCACAAAGTGCCATAAACTAAAGTTCCATGTACATACTGGGTAGCCATCCACAGCAATGCACTGCCACTCTGCTAAGACTTGCATTTTACCATGACTGATCTCAAGTGAATAAATCAATACTTTCTAGAAACAAATCTTCAAATTGGTTCAGCAATAAATTCATATGAAAATAAATGGGAATTATAGTCTATTGCCCAGATATCATCTGTTAATGTCTTTTATTCTGCTCTGAACATTTGCCATCTGCAAGGGTGTATGTATCCTGGTGTCATGGAAATGGCTTATGAAGCCCGAAAACTGAGTTTTATGAGTTCATTCATTCACTCATTTATTCATTTATAAATATTTCTTGAGTATCAGCTAAGTATCAGGTACTGGGCTTGATGCTAGATTCTTTTTTACTCTTTTATCCAGTTTTATTTGTATTACGTAGATACAGCTCTAGACTAGTTGGTAAGAATTTATTATATCCCATATTGTTGAATATTCATGAGAGAGCAGCCACACCAGGCTACCTCTTAGCTCAGTTTCCCTAGTCCTGATGTGTGTTTTGCATGGTTAAAAAAAATAAATAAATAAAGCAAACACACTTGTGAATAGGATGGTAAAATCTAATGGGAAGATTTTCCCTTGGGTTCCTGACTGAAGGAGACTAGCCAAAATCTCATCCTTGTAATTTCTAACCTATATGGCAGCAACACAAGGAAAAAGAAACAAACAATTAAGTGGTAATTAACTATACATCATTCATCAACCTAGAGTAGAAATGGACCTCTGAATATTCAGCCAAAGCAAACACACAGTTTACTGATGAGAACTTCTGATCCTTTTGTGTATACTTTATGCACATTGATCCTGGGTGATGGAATTGCTTTTCCAATTTTATGGTATGCTGGGGGGGAGGTGAAATTTAATCAAGCACGTAATTTAGCATCTTACGATTTCACAGTTGGAGGGCACTGACCTCTTAAAAGTATTTGCATTGTGCTTCCTGGGAAAGTGCAACAACTATAGCCCATCTGCTACCCGCCGCTCAGCAGGGTCAGCCTTAGGATACAGTTCTGCAGTGATAGCTAAGCTCTGAGAGAGAAGCAAAAAGAACCAAACCCTAGCTTTTTGCTTTTCAAAACTCTGAAGGATTGGGCCACATATGGATCCTGGGGTACTCCTGTGGAGTTGAAATGATTTGGGGAAAGCAGTATGCTTTTTGGGCAGTGAAGAGTAGAGAAAGAAGATACATAAGCAGACTTAATTCTCTGCCTATGGGTTTTGCTTGGCTTGGGGCCACAGTAGCCCCTCTCCTGTGGTCAGGACTGTACAGCTCAAAGCTTTCATTCAAATGAGAACAGGGAGGACACGAGGTAGCGTGATGCTCTTTCTTGGACTCCTCTCTCTCTCTTTAAAAACATTTTTAATGTGAAAAAAAAACATTTTTAATGTGTATTTATTTTTGAGAGAGAGAGAAAGGGAGAGAGGCACAGAATCTGAAGCAGGCTCCAGGCTCTGAGTTATCAGTACAGAGCCTGACATGGGGCTTGAACTCACGAACCATGAGATCATGACCTGAAGTTGGATGCTTAACTGACTGAGCCACCCAGGTGCCCCTGGAGTCCTCTCTTTACCTCCCTCATGTATATACTTTTTACAGGCAAAGGCATAAAGAGAACCCAATCTACAATCAGTTTTACACTTAACTGCCTGTAATAATTCTACTACTTATATAAGACACACATCATTCTTTGACCTTTTCAAAGTAAAATAACTGTTCATATAACTGAAACACACCTGTGAGCTTGTCATCTCACCAGGTCATCTCCTCCTTTTCCTCATTTTCAGTGACTAGTTCTAACTCTGCTAATGCAGATGAACAAAAATAAAAGCCTTGAACATTGGGCTTGCAGTTGAGTGCTTTCTATCAGCTCACAAAATCTCTGCAGAATTTTGATCATCTTGTATCTTCTCTGACTGAAACATCTTCAAAGACAGAAGGTATCAGTATGCACTTAAGGGGTTCTCAATTGCAGAATATTTATGGGGTCAAGTTTACTCTGCAAGTAGATATTAATTGCTTTCACTTACTGATAGCACTGACTTCATGTTGGGCATCCCTTTCCAGTACAGTATCTGCTTATTGCCTTTATAGTACTTATCTCTTTTAGAAATTATCTTGCATATGTATTTTTTTTATGTTTATTTTTGAGAGGAGGGAGGAGCAGAGAGAGAGGGAGACACAGAATCTGAAGCAGGCTCCAGGCTCCGAGCTGTCAGCACAGAGCCTGACGTGGGGCTCAAACTCATGAGATGAGAGATCATGACCTGAGCCGAAGTCAGACGCTTAATCGACTGAGCCACCCAGGCGCCCCTTATGTATTTGTTAACTAAATACATTTTTAATAGTACATAAATTTGAATATGTTTTTTCTTGTAACTGTTTCATATCTCTACTGCTGCGTACGTATGGCTCCTGCTTTCTTTGTATACCACATTTCTTGGGTCCCACATCTTCAGCTTTCTTGGATGCAGTTTCCATTTTGTTGCAGCATATCCTTGACTAATTACTTCAGAGAATGTCTGTGGAAAATACATTTTCTTCTCTTTTCTCTTTCTTTGTACTCACACTTAAATTTTAATTGACTAGATATGGAAATCTGTCTTCACAGTAACTTTCTCTCAAAACTTGGATGCTACTGTTTCCTTATCTTACATCCATATCCAGAATGACTTGTGTGTAGCCTGTTTACAGCTCTCTTAAAACTTCTTAGGGTATTATCTTCACATTTTTTGTTTATGAAATGGGTCCTAAATACGTGTAGGAATTGCTTCTTTTTATGTTAATCTTTTTTTGGCATTTGATTGGCATTTGTAATTTATTACCTCCTATTTTTTTATTTTGAAAATTTGCAAACCTATGACAAACCTGTAAAAATATAACGGATACCCAAATATTCCAGTTTCACAAACTGTTAACATTTAGTTATATTTTATTTCTCTCCATCTCTCTATGTGTATGTATATGTGTATGGATTTCCTATATACATACTGTATTGATTGTATATAATTTTTATATTTAAAGTCACATATACATATAAATATAACTTTTTATGACCCATTTAAGAGTAAGTTGCAGACATTAATGGCACTTTAACTACTTCAGCATATATCTCCTAAAGAACAGGATCTTTTCCCTACATAACCTCAAAACAATGATTGGGCCAAAAAATTATTTACCTTGGATTAAATATGATTCAATACAATTTGATACAATACTAATATTTAATATGCAGTCTGTATTCATGTTTCCCCAATTGTTCCAATAATGTTTTTCTAACCTTTTTTTTTTAAGTTCCATAAACTTAAAAGGAAGTTTCCATAAAAGGATTGTGCACTGCATTTAGTTGTCATTTTTCTTTTAGAACTGCACCCTTGTCTTTTTTTGACTTTCATGTCATTAGCATTTTTCTTAAGTTTTTTAATTTTATTACTTTTATTTTGAGAGAAATCCCCCTCTGTGGGATGGGCACAGAGGGAGAGAGAGAGAATCGCAAGCAGACTCCATGCTGTCAGCATGGAGCCCAATGTGAGGCTTGAACTCATGAACTGAGAATTCATGATCTGAGCTGAAATAAAGAGTCAGACACTCCACCTACTGAGCCACCCAGGCGCCCCCATGTTATTAATGTTTTTGAATGAAGAGGTCAGGCTAGTTTTTTATAGAAAGTCTTTCCGTTTGGGGGTGCCTGGGTGGCGCAGTCGGTTAAGTGTCCAACTTCAGCCAGCTCACGATCTCGTGGTCCGTGAGTTCGAGCCCCGTGTCAGGCTCTGGGCTGATGGCTCAGAGCCTGGAGCCTGTTTCCGATTCTGTGTCTCCCTCTCTCTCTGCCCCTCCCCTGTTCATGCTCTGTCTCTCTCTGTCCCAAAAATAAATAAACGTTGAAAAAAAAATTAAAAAAAAAGAAAGTCTTTCCGTTTGGATTTTCTTATTGTTTCTGCATGTGTGGATTCAGAGTAAACATTTTTTTGGCGTGGGTATTAGAGAAGTGCTATTGTGACTGGCTTAGTGCAGTGCATTAGAAAGCATATGAGTCAGTTTGTCCCATTATTGTTAGTTAAGTATTATTAGTGGCTTGGTTTCTGTCCAAAGCTTTCATTCCAATGGAAAAAGGGGATCTACCATTATAGATGTACCCTATTCCCTTAATAGTTGCTAAGTACTCTATGGAGTGATTCATTGAGATGTTACAGCATTTTCAATTTAACTATTTCTTTTAGGTTTGGGAAAAGTTTT